AAACTACATTTACAAGGATTCTATATTATTTCCGAACTTAGAGTAACATTTCAAGTTGTCATTATTAAAAAAAAAAAAAAGTGGAGGCAGAAGGAGAAAAAGATATTCATTTCCTTTCAATGGCACACATTGTTATTTAATAGAAGGAAGAACTGTTGGGGATTCGGATAGTTAAAGCAGTTCACATTTTTGCTCATCTCTTAGAGCCTTGCTTTCGGTCAGACAGTCCTCTACCATTTGAAGTTGACATCTAAGAAGATGAGACCTCAACTTTATAAAGTCTCCTCTAGTTTTGAGACATAAAAAAAAAATAAAGAAAAAAAAACAGAAAATCCAGTTCAGAGCACCCTATCATCTTTGGGCTGCCACCTGGGACCTCCAGAGAGTAGAACACCCCCAAGCAGTGGTCAAGGCCTTTCTCATCCTCCCTACAGTCCTCTGAAAGCTCAGATCCAGCGGTCCTGAGCTGCACCTCCACTAGTAATGGACACACAGCTGGCACTTTTCTCCTTTGGAAAGAGAACTCTCCTTCCCAAATCAATCTTTTTGCTATTGACAGCCTTAGGATGAAGGTAAAACCTCTATTCCCTTCCCTCTCCTCTTGCACAGAGCATGGCTCACCGTATGTTTCTTCTCATGTGGGAGGGCTTTTGAGCTCTCTTCTTTTTGGGGTCCTCGGAGGCTAGATTGTTGCCTTGGTGGCGCCTAAGCTGCTCTGAAGGCTCAGAATGAGATGAGGTAGTTGAAGTGCACCGCGGCGGCTGCTGCCCATCTTCTCCCAGCTGGGCATGCTCAGTGCCACACATGCCTTCCAGGGATGGGTCTGAAAAACAAGGGGAAAGACGTTGCTTTACAGGGGTAGGGGAATGAATGTCGATGCCAGACACACCGGGGTTCAAATCTCAGCTCAGCAACTTATTAGCTGGTAATCTAAGGCAAATTATTTATACCTCTCTGAACATCAGTGGATGTATCTACAAAATGAGGACAGTGAGGCCCACACCTCAGAGCTATTATGAGGACTGAATGTGTGCATGCCTAGACCCAAGCCTGGCTCAGATTAAGCCCACAATGAATGATTGACATCACTTTTACTAGAGTTTAGTGCTATGACCAGAGTGAGGAAGTTTCCTGGCCTCAGAATGCTCAGAAAGGGACAGTCTAAGAAGTTAGGTTCCAAATATAGCTCACACTCAGTTGTGTGACTCTAGGCATTTACCTCTCATTTACCTCTCATCTGCCAACAGGGAGCATATTCCTCCTTTCAGTGTCTTAAAGCATTCACTCATTTAACTTGCCAACCATTTAAAGAGGGCCTACAATATGGCAAGCACTGTCCTAGATACTTCCAGGGATATTTGCAAGACTACTTCCCTTCAAGTAGTTTGTGTTCTGCTTACGGAGACAGGGCATGTACAAATACAGACTCAACATGGCAAGGTGTGCTAAATATCACAGGAAGGGCAGATCAACAGATATAAAGAACTTCAAGGTTGACGACATCACAGGAATATGAAAGATACTAATTCATGTGTTGATCACAGAGGAATCATATAGAAGGTAAAATACAAGTCAGGCCTTGAAAGATTTCTAAAAGTAATGCCTTAAAAGATATTTGGGTGTCAGGCACAGTGGCTCATGTCTGTAATCCAGCACTTTGAGAAGCCAAAGCAGGTGGATCACCTGAGGTCAGGAGTTCGAGACCAGACTGGCCAAAATGGCGAAACCTCATCTCTAGTAAAGATACAAAAATCAGACAGGTGTGATGGCAGGTGCCTATAATCCCAGCTAGTGGGGAGGCTGAGGCAGGAGAATCGCTTGAACCCAGGAGGCAGAGGTTGCAGTGAGCCATGACTATGCCACTGCACTCCAGCCTGGACAACAGAGCAAGACATCTCTCNAAAAAAAAAAAAAGAAAGAAAAGAAAAGGAAGAACAAGTGAACTAAAACAATGTCTGGCATATAATAAACACTATATATATATTTAAAAAAAAAACAGCTACTACTTTTACTATGATTACTATTATTTCAGGTATTAGGTATGGATTTAGTTTTTCACATTGCCTCTTTTCTACCTTATAATAACTCTACAAGAGTTTTGCTCCCCTAATTCTAAATATGAGGCATTTTTGCTCTCCTAATTCTAAATGTGAGACACTGAAGCCCTGAAAAGTTAAAAATACTTGCCCATGGGTATATAAGAAATAAGCAGAAAAACAGGAGTAGGCAGTTAAAAGTATGAGCTTTGCCGGGCATGGTGGCTCATGCCTATAATCCCAGCATTTTGGGAGGCCAAGGCGGGGAGATCACCTGAGGTCCAGAGTTCAACACTAGCCTGACCAACATGGAGAAACCCCGTCTCTACTAAAAATACAAAATTGGCGAGGCATGGTAGCACATGCTTGTAATCCCAGCTATTCAGGAGGCTGAGCCAGGAGAATCACTTGAACCCAGGAGGCGGAGGTTGCAATTAGCCGAGATTGTGCCACTGTATTCCAGCCTGGGCAACAAGAGCAAAACTCCATCTCAAAAAAAAAAAAGTATTAGCTTTGCAGTCAGGCAGTGCTGGCTTTAAATCCTGTAAGTCTATGTTTGCGGGCATAACTTCTCTGAGCCATAGTTCCCCACATCTGCAAAACAGGTATGTCAATGGTTCTCTTATGGAAGATATTATTCTTCAAACCCTTGTCTGCCTAACTCCATGAAACTCCATACTCCCAACCACATTGAACAGTCTGGGAGCATGCAAATCTCTGGGGCCTTAGTCAGCCATGCTAAGTGGCGATAATTGTGTGGAGAACTCAAATCTCAACTATATATTCTAATCAAAGATCAGAAATAAGAAAGCAAAGGGGGAAGCAGAAATGACATCTGCAAACTGTATCTTGCCATCACAAAATGAATGTTTCTTACACACACATACCGCCTCCTTGAAATTGTACACTACACTTTCACGTTAAACCTCTCCATGTGAGACTACTACAAACCTGTCACTGTTGCCTCTCCTGCTCCCTGCTTTCAGTTTAGCCTAACACACATATGAGCATCTGCTAGGTATCAGGCCCTGTGCCAAGGCACAGTGGAATAAACCACATGGGGAAACACATATGCAATGCAGAAAGTGCCTAAGATCATTAACACTTAAGAAAAAGACACCAAATCCAGCCTGACCTAGGGCTGGGCATGGGGGTGCTTCCTTGGGAAGAGTGAGACCCAGGTTTGGTCTCACAGAATGGGTAGGCACCAGCTAAAATGAAGGAAGTAAAGCAGCAACAGGAAGGACCTTCCAACCTAACAACCACTTCCCTTCCCCTTTCCTGGAGCTCCTCATCCAAGGAAGACTTAGGTGAGAATCCAAGATCCTTCTCTGGATGCTGGTACAGAAGTCAACCCTGTCCTGGGGAAGACTACTTCCAAACCTCTCCTTCCTAGCACTCTACTTTCCACTGTCCTGGTGTTTGAGTGGAGAGGAGAGGCTAATGTGGTTACTGTAAAAGTGGACGGATGAGTGGGTCTCACATGTGGATGCCCAGGATTCACTACCTGGCAGCAACTTCCTTGGCCCTCAACTGAGAGACCACTGAAGATTTAGGTAGACAGATTTCACTTTTTGAAAAGCAAAGGGGAAATGGTCAAGAAAGGCATCAGACAAGAAATGTTCATGATGGGACACTGCAATACCATTAACATGAGCAAAAGGTTAAAACATCACACCCCCTTCTCCATTACCACCAGTCTATAGCAGGACTTTTACGAAAGCCTTCCCAAAGAAAGCAGAGCCCAGGGTGGCAAGAAGCAGTAGGAATGTACTGTGTGTGTGAGCCTTGGCTCATGGACATGTTCTACCTGCTGAGGAAACAAGGTGCCATAGCTTATGTGTCCAGCCAGACATGAGAACTAAAAGAGAAGTTTCAAAGCAGAGCTCCAAGTCTGACTAAGCTGCCCTCCCAAATTCACCAGGCTCTTCAAACAGTGCTCTCCAATTTCCACCTAAAACATCATAGGAGCAAGTTCAGCAATTCTGTTTTCCTTTAAAAGAACTATCATTCCTTCAAGCCCCATACCCCTCCAAAGAGCTAATACTTCCACAGCATTTTCATTTAATACTGCTGTCAATTTCTTCCTACTTCACAGCCCTGAATTATTCCCTCCTAAAAGGTGAGGCCATCAAATTCCTCCTCCCAAACAGCTGGCTGGGCAGCAGATTCCCCAAGAGGGGATACCCACTGCTAAATGACTACTTCCACAATACTGCAGCTTGGTGTACAACACACCAACTACACTTGGGGCTGGGTTGGCACACTTCAATTTAGTGTTTTGCTGGGTCCTCTGGCCTGGTTCTGATAATGATCTCTGATGCTCTCCTTGTCTTTTTTGTTTTGTTTCTATTTCACTAGCAAATTTATTGAGCAATCACTTGGAGGAGCAATTGGAGGAAAGGTTAGAGAGTAGGCAGATAGGACAGAGTCAGAAAATAGAGGGCAAGTCCAAGGGGTTTGAAATTGATCTGCTGGGCAGAGGTAACTTTTTGCCAACTGTTGTATATCCTTGTTCTGGCGTCTGCTTGTGAAATGGGCTGTTCTTGGGAGGAGAAAGAATAGAACCTGCTGACCTTGCACTATCACCAACAGATTTATTATCAAACATTCAACCCAAGTTATAAGGCTTGGCTGTGAACTCCTGTCTGGCATGGGGCTGAATGTGGCCAAGTGCAGTAACAATTTTCAAATCATCAGGCACAATATATATAATTCTCATGCCTTATACAGATGATACAGATCTAAACCAGCTCCTTATCACCCAGCATTCTTTGAGTGAATCCTCAGCTTCTGGGTTCAACTACTTTTAGCTTATTTAAAAAATTTAGTTTAATAATATTTATTTTATTTAATTTAGTGCTAATAATATTAGCACAGATGTGATAATATTTAAAGTTCATTTTCATGTAAACCAATGTCTTTCAAGTGCTTCATTTTTGCTGTTTCATGACGATTATGGTTTTTGTATAACATTGTAACAGATGCTGTACATTTAATAAACCATTCTTAATAATAAATCTGTTATTTCAAGAATTATATAATTAAATTTCCCTCAGTCAAAATGTAACTTTTCACTATGTGTTCTTGTTTTACCTTCTGAACACTAAATCACGTGAATTCACCACCCAAGCAAAGTAATTTAACTTCCAAAAAATAGCCCTCCCCCAGATTCTAGAATGTGACCCGCCAATAGCTACTGAGAGAAAAGAAAAAAGTTGGCTGGGCGCGGTGGCTCAAGCCTGTAATTCCAGCACTGTGGGAGGCCGAGGCGGGTGGATCACGAGGTCAGGAGATCGAGACCATCCTGGTCAACATGGTGAAACCCCGTCTCTACTAAAAATACAAAAAATTAGCT